GATGACGAGGAACCCACTCTGAGACCAATAATGGCTGGAGACGGCTTGAATGGGTAATGAAGAAAAACTTTAATATAAGTTTAACATAACAGCAAATGTACAACGTTTCGACAAGGTTTTGTCATCATCAGGTACATCAGCCGTCTCCAGCCATTATTAGGAAGTATGTTGTATACAGTGGTGTTGAGCCGTTAGTAAGCAACATTGTTTAGTACAAAAAACGTATGTATATATATATATTTATATATATATAGATATGTAACACATTAGAGTGTTCAACGTTTGTCAGATTATGTTAGTGTATAAAAAGTATGTGTAAATTCTGACTAAATGATACATAAAATTCTTACCTGAGGAACACACATTATGTCCATGATATACTCCACGTCATAGGTGACGTCACAAACCTCTGTCAATGTCTTAACTAGAACCTGCCCAATCAAATCATGTTTGGAAAATCGGTCGAAGTCGTATACAGAAAACTGTAACGTGCGGGTTTTTAACTGGTCATAACTAACGCCGAATACAAACGTTTCATTGAAGACTGGGTTTAGATTCTTGAGATGAACCTGTTTCATACAACATAGTATAACCATCTGAAATAAAATCTCTCTACCAGACGTCAAAAAAGATCGAACGCTTTCTAAAAACGCTCTTCTCTTGAGTGGTTTTTATATTAACACTGAAAAGCGATTCATGGTGTACCAAAGTTCAAGAACACCATCAACAAAGCACAACAATGATAATGGCTGCATATATGTAACTACTGGTTATTTGCAGCCATTCTTACTAATGCATAAAACCAAAAAATAGCTGATACTTATAAGTTTCTTTAAATGAGAGTTGCTTTCTTCTTGTAGTTGACCTTCCAACCAGGAAAAAGATGTATAAAAATGGTCTTGATGTCATTCTTGTTAGAGACATGAACCAATCTTAGATAAATTACACATAGAACGAGATTAGGGTGAGGGTGGATGAAACCCTGGCATTTGACCTTTAATGTCATCTTCATTGTCATTCAGGTCAAATGAGGGTCTAATTTGGACAATATTGAATTGAATAAGCCGAATGTTATCATGTTAACTTATTCTACCCGAATGAACTTGAAAACGACCTTAAAGGTTATCTGCCATAATCCCAGTCCTATACAGAGTTGATCTATAAGGGGTGTCTACTTTTAACATCATCACAATTTGGTTAGCTCATTGGCAAGTCAACTATTGTGATAAGTTAGAACTTAAAATCAAAACAAAAAAACCAGAAAAACGTAAGTTTGAATTTTTTCAATCTAACAAATAGGACGAGGTTACAATTTTAAACTGATTTAAGCCAAGGATTGAGAAGTAAAAAAAAGTAATCTAACTTAAAACAAACAAACATACAAACCCGTGTTTGGAATTTTTTCTTTCGATCGGGGAGAAGATATATCTTGACATATGGGTCCGAGGATCCCGTGAAATCTTTCACTGGGAGGTCTCGAGCTTCAAGAACCTGGAAACGAAAATATATTTTATAGAAATAAAGTCTGCAGTCCGAGTTTAAATATTAAGAAGCTCAAATAAGAGAGTTGACTCGTGAATTAAAAGAAAATCGAATTACCTTGTTATTTTACATTAGAAGGAGTAATTAAGCCTGATCGTGGAGAATGGTGAACTTGTATTTGAAAATAGTTGATCTGTGGAGTAACAGTGGGAGAAACTCGTATTAGAGAGATGGAAATAAGGGAGTTAAATCTGACAATATGAATTAGTGTTTTAGTTTGGTTGAATAGAAGTCATACGCTGTCGACACATTCCTGAAAAATTCTTTAAAAGTAATTGTTTCACGCGAAAGGGATAACAAAATACAACACTCATTAGATTATTTTCTTATTGCCGTTCCGTGGTATACTGACCCTTATGCAAACAGAAACCTTATGTATGTTATATTGGGAATTTCGGCGAACAGATTGGTGCCCTGAGTATCCTATATTTTTGATATACTTAAAAATAAAAGTATTGACTGAATACTTGATTATCCTACACTGGCGATGTTTGCCGTCATCTTTATGTTCTGGACGATTTGGTTTTGTAACAACATGAATCGAGCTTAACCATGTACTGAATATTTAAAATCTTGCTAAAGTCAGTTATACTTTTTTTGGTATCTAGTAAATTATTAAAAATTCATAGATAAGTTTCTGAATAAAGATATGTAGTATTGTTCCTAGAATACAAAGAATATTTAAGCATTATTGTTATTCATTACCGGTAATATATATATATACATATATATAATTATAAAACATAAAGTAGGCCATATTTATGAGATACTAAATACAAATGACTGTAGCACATGTGTTAAGAAATTATAACTATAACGAAATGACACAACTTCTAAAATTCTTTGTTTCATATAGTGATTGCCATATATATCATCATAAACAACATATATAACATCATAAACAATCTAATGTTCCATTAAGAACTCTCGAAGTTAAACTGAATGTGTTAACGTTCTTAAACGGTTGAGTGTATTAAACCGTACTATGTTCCGATAAAGTCTAACATCTCCTGTTTACACGACAACATTAATTCCCATACTCTGACAATTAGGCCTTCCACGTCTTGATCATATTTGAGAGTGAAATGGAGTTTCCCACAAGGCTTTCCATAGTCTCCATCTTCTTCGAACGTATTGTTGCTTTCAGTGGACACCTGTCGGACCAGCTCTCTCTTGTACAGTTCCGGTTTAATTTCTCCAACAGATGGCGTCTCACGAGGTGATTTGTTGCACACTATGAACAAGTGAAATTGTACTTTATGATATTTTTTATTTTTGAGAATTACAACACAAAATATGTTTTACTGTTTAAATCTTCGTAAGAACTGTATCATTTTCTTGTTGTCTGAACAATAATAAACGGCATTTTCAGCGTTGACTTTGTGACATTTCATAATCTAGCTAATTTTTTATGTTTTCACAAGTTTACCTGACAATTACTTTCAATTATATAAAAGTATCCAAGAGTTGCATTAACCTTCTCACTTTGTTGTCATGTTTATGACATTATGTTGAATAAGATTAGATCTAACATTATTTGGTAAGTTTATAAATAAAGTTTTGGAAGAATATTAAGAACAGTAACGTTAAAAAGCACCATTAAAATGGAGGTTATGTTTACTTAACACATTTTTTTAAGGTGTATCTTTAACTTTAATATATTCACAGCAGTTTTTTAACGAAAATGGAAGAATGGTAGTTAACTGATACTAAGAAGACAAAAAATATTTTCATCCTTTACTCACGAAAACGAAACGGTCATCTTTTGGTGAAAAAACAACAACATTAACTATCACAAAAGTAAGAATTCAGGCTTAGGTAAAAGAATTAATGTGCTCTAAATAAAACCCTTTTCTTATACCGAAAAAAGAAAAATCGTCTGGAGATGAGAAAATAAAATTCATTAAAGACGAAGACGTTTGTAAAGGCTTAATTGGGTCTAAATAAAACCCTTTCCTTATACCGGAAGGAGTAAAATCGTTTGACAATGAAGAAACGAAATAAATCAAAAACAAAGCTTTTTGTGAAAGGATTGATTTTGGCTAAATATAATTTTTTCACTACACCGGAACAGTAAAATTGTTTGGCGGCGAGAAAATAAAATCCAACTTTGTGAATATAGACTGAATATAATCCTCTCCTTATGCCGAAATCAGTAGAATTGCCTGTCGATAAGGTACAAGAAATTCAATAAAAAACAGAGCATACTGCGAAAGGCTTAACAAACAGGTTGTTGGGAGACATATTGAAGTTGCTTTAGCGACTAATACACTTCTGTCTAAAAATTTAGTTTAATAACGTATAATTAAAACTTTGCATAATTAATACTACGTAAAAGCGTTCCTCTTCTGAAATCTAAAGATGTACTTAGAGGCGTATAACTATTTAAAATCGTAGGTTGGTGAAATATGGCAAGCTATAAAAATGAAATATTCTTCCATGTTTTCTTTTTCCTGTATTTGAAGCATTTTCTATGGTTTGCTGGCTCTGAAAGATTAAAAATATAATCTAGTCTCTCTATATACAAAATTTGAATTACTCTGCTGATAGCACTCTGGTGGCTCAGCAGTAATTCAGAGGGTTTATACCGCTAAAAGTCGGGTTTCGATATAACCGCGGTGAGCAATGCACAGACTACACATTGTGTAGCTTTGGGCAACAAACAAACCAATGTTAATATAAAAAAATTACTCTCTAAATAATTCAAAATGTATTAATAATTGAAACGGTTGTGACACTATTCACAGGAGAAATGTAACTTTGACTCAGGAAGTGATATCATGCTGATGAAATGTTAACATCAAGTCTTCCTTAAGTATTTTCTTTTAGAATAAATGAAGCTTCTGAAAAATGTATTACCTGAATCGAAGTACATCTATTTATTATTTAACATTTTATTTGTTATATTAACTAATTCTATTTGTTTTCTTAATAGAATAGATTATTTTAATAAAACAAACTATGAAGTTTTCTCACTCGATAACCTGCTTAGCAAATGAAATGTAGATGAAATGCTATTAATGCACTCGTGTTACTGGAAACCTGCAACTCTATTGAGCTTGTTAAGAATAATTGGTTAAAAAGTGACATTTTCATTGTGATGAGCTTATTTTTTGGCGTGAAAGCGCTAGATCTATACACTAGTTTTTAGTATTTTTCCATTGTCAAATCTGTATGGTGATGAACAATGTAAAACCCGAGGGCAAACTTTAGTTGTGTTATAGTTATCCGATAATTATTTCAGAATAAACAGTTTTGAAAATTAAATATAAAAAACAATTACTTAGAGCCTTTTTAGATCATAATTTTACTTCAAATGTGAAACTTCCATAGTTTCCTCAATTACAAGTGACGACCTAAACACTAGTTCGGCTGTTTTAACAAATGTAAGTTAGGCCATATTCTTCAGCCAGGACAAAATAATTCATCTTAGTTTCAGGTGGGGACAGCTCACTCGCTAACTTACACTGAAAATGGTTAACTAATTTATTTTCATTCTGCATTTAAAATAACCAAACGGTCGGTCATAAGCTTGCACTAAGAACAAACCACTAACTGCTCATAATCATGCATGAAAAACAACAAACTAAATCAATTATTAGCTTGCATTGGGAAAAATCCACTAACTGCCCATCATTCTGTATTGTAAACATCCAAATAAATCAGTTATAAGCTTGTGCTGCGAGCAATCTACTAACTGCTTTTCATCTTGCATTGAAAAATAATAAATGATTCAGCAAAAGTTTAAATTGAAATAAGTCCACTAATCACTCTCCATCCGGCACCGACAGAAATCGAGTAATTACTTTTATACACTGGAAATAAACAAATAATTTATCACCAGTATTCTCCAAAAACAATTAACCAATAACTCTCTAGGTTAGATAAAATAGTCAACTTATTCCTTTCCAACACGAACTAAAAATACTCCATTAATGATACTTTAGTCTGCATTCTATTCATTAATTGATCTTCAGCCTGCACGTAAACAGTCCACTAATTACTCTTCAACCTACACTAAAACAAGACACTAATTAATTTCTAGTTCGCACTGAAAACAAATCCATTAATTTGCTCCCGAAAATTCTTAATTTATACAGCCAAACACTAAAAACCATTAATTACTCTTCAACCTGCATTAAAACAATCCACTAATTCCTCTTCAGTCTGTACTAAAAGAAGCGACCAATTGTATTCTAGTTTGCACTAAAACAAATCCATTAAGTACTATCCACTTTGGCTTAAAAATCTTAAATTACCCTTTAGTCTACACTGAAGAAAATCCACAAATTAAATTCAAGTCCGCGCTGAAAATAAAGCAGTAAATTCTCCCCAGCTTGCACTTAAAACGTTCCAGGTTTCTAATGTTCTTTGGAATTTTCCTTCACGAGTTGCTTCCTACTGTTCAGTTCTGTGTAGAATATTTTATTTTATATTCTTAATTATAAAAATCCTTTATTCTTTTTTTACCGAGGCATTCTTTAACTGAATACTATTTTCGTGTTTGGACAAAAAACTACAAGGTATCAGTTATAATTTCAGTTTTTCCTGCTTAATAAAAGTTCCTTCTGAATATGTTCTCAGTATCTAAGATGCAAGGATTTTATGGATAAATATACGTTCGTGATCCTAGATTAGTAAACATTCAACTTTGTTTTTTCCATATTATTTTATTTTTAGTTCTTCTTACCATTAGTTCACCTAAGAAGTGTTGTATACACAATAATATAAAAACAACTTTTCAATTTTTCTTTAGTCACATTGAAGTAGCATCAAGAATGCCGATCGTGTTTTTTGAAGTAATAACTAAAATGAATTAAATAAAAATAATTATCTTATTCATTTACGTTGGTGGAGACTCAAAGTTTTTAGAAAGCTTTAAAGCGAAGATTTTTACATGTGGAAATAAAATTTATGTGACATAGTTTCGCACGTAGTCACCCCTACACGTAGGTTGTACACACATGGTTTTGCATTGCAAAAATAACTGGTTATGAAATTCAATAACGCGTTATTTAAATAAGCAACTTAATCAATAGCATACTAATGGATTTCTGTGCGAAAGAAAGTAGGACCCTACTAACCTATATTTTAAACAAATCAATATTTTCTTCACTTCTTCCTTGTGAGCGCTTTCACTTAAAAAGGCTGAACTTGCTAACAAACGTGCATCATAAACTTTTGATACGAAGTTTCGGATTAGACAGTTGAATTATTCTGAAGCAATCATAATGAGCATTAGTTGATAAAGGACGTTATACTTAATTCACTATTATCAAAAAGGACCAAAATTGAAACGAACACTTACTTAGGTACCTTTACGTACATCTGAATTTGCCACAATACACAGATATGTAAAACAAGTTTATGAAGTTATACTGTTAGGAATTAAACCCATACCTTCAAATGGTACATCGTAAATATCGAGACGATGGGATAGCTGTCTCTGAAAAGTCTGATGACGAGTTGGGACAGTTGGTAAGGTGGTCTGACGAGGAGGTGCTGTCTTCTTGCAGTGAGGCTCTTTTTGGACCTCTTCGTTTATGTCTGGTAGACTGTGGCTTATTTTCAATGATGGAGTACTACTGGGCTCTGTTGAATGTACAGTAGTGGGCACTAAAGCGGCGCTACTGTCGCTGGCAGAATGATGAGGTTGAAGGATAGAGACTAGCCACCGATAACTAAAGTAAGTCATTACGCCTACTACAGTGACTGCTAGGATAATCAACGCAATAATAAACTGAGGCACGCTTGCAAGTCCGGCATCTGTTAGATAGAAAGGGAAAACCAATATTAAACATGCTAGACTATTAGTACAAAGGAAGTTTATATTAAAACATTAATTTGTATTTTAGAATTTAGTTTTTCTTACACAGTTTTAGCCACCCGGTAGCTCAGTGGTAAGTATGAAAGCTAAAAATCGGGTTACGATACCCGTGGTTGGCATAGCTCATTGCGTGTGTCTTTAAGGTTAACAACAAACAAACAACTACACAGTTATACGAACAGCACATAAGATCCCTTTCATTTACAAAAAAATTAATTTCGCTTTCACAGATCTCTTCAGTGGTTTTAGGACGAAGAAAGAAGATCTTCAAAGTAGGACAAACCCAGATTTCAGATACACTGATGCATCAAGTTACTCTTTCAGTGATTGAAATATGGCTACGTAACACGTCATGATGTGGACGTATAGTAGTTCGCATGCATTGGTCTTAGTTCTTTTTTTTAACACCTTTTTTTCTGTTTGAATATTTCCTCAATAAGAATTTTTGACTGGATATTATGTCGAGCTATATATTGTTGCATGTGTGTTCTCCTGGAAAGTGTTGACTGGATTTTGTGTCGAGCTATTGTTGCATATGTGTTTTCCTGGAAAGTGAGATGCCTGATCACAGCAGAGACAAAGACGCGTTTGTGTGAAGTACTCGGCAGGAACTTGGAAATATATATATATAGTAAAGTTTATAAAATGCTAAATATGTTTCACTAATGTCTAAGCAAATGCAACTTAATATGAAAATATAATGACTTTTTCTTGTATGCTCGTACTACTGAAAACTTTATATATATATATATATTGTAGAAAGAATGAAATTATTAAAGCATCCTTAACGCTATGAATTTTCTATAACTTTATTTACCTGTTTAAGAATTTTTCGTGCAAAGCTACACAAACGCATTTTGTGCATAACTATCCAAAAATTGAATTGATATGCTAGAATGAAGGCAGCTAATAAACAGCATCACCGCCATACTATTAGGTTACTATTGTGTAATTGAATAGTGGGGATTTGACCGCCACTCTTATAGCGCAGCTACTGCTATCAAGTGCGGAGTGCGTTTTTGCGGTAATAAGAATCGAACCTTTAATAATTTGATGCACATACTAATCACTGTGTCACACTAGAAACAAGTTTTTATAAAGACTAAATAAACATGCATTTTCTGAGATAAAATAATCTGCTTTTAATTGTATACTAGCTGCGACCCGCAAAACATTTGCAGTAGTTTCATGCCCTTCGTTTGAATTTTCCTTATTCTATCATTTTTACGCACGCCATTTAAGCTACGCTTTCGCCCCTCAGTGGCACAGAGGTATGTCTGCGGACTTACAACGCTAGAAACCGGGTTTCGATACCCGTGGTAGGCAGAGCACAGATATCCCTTTGTGTAGCTTTGTGCTTAACTACAAACAACAACAACAGCTACACTTTCTTGCAGACATTGTGTGTTAGATCGATAGATCCGGGCCTATTTGAAAAAGTTTACGCGGTCACACAAACAAACTCACGTAGACGTAACTTTATTTAATAAAACTATACGTACGTAATTATACTTAATGAAACTACACGTAAAGTAAACAATAAAGTAAAGTCATGGTATTTATAATTGTGTACAGAGTCTGAAAGAGTTATGAGCGTTCAGTGTATGACAAGAATAAAATAATAAATTAGCCAAAAGGTGTTTATAGCAGTCTATGAAACAAACAAAAACAAAATTATTGCAAAGTAGAGTAAATATAAACTTGTAATGAAGGCAAATGTAGCTGAATATGCAGAAACGTCTGAATGCATGTTCACAAAGTGATAAGCATATGGTTTTAAACGAACTGCTTATGTGTAGTTTAGACTTAAATAAGTCGAAAAGTCCATAGAAAGTGTATTTAGTATAATATTAATTATTTTTAAGAAATTACATCCGCGTTAAGTGTTGTTTGTGTGAAATAGTTTGCGAATAAAAAAAAACTGAAGTTGAAATCGAAGTCAGTCACCACGTAATGACAACGCCATTGTGCTATAGTGTAGCATACTCGTTGCATTAAAAAAATTTGACTAATCAAAAAAAAAAAAGGAAAGGTGATTCCGAATGGAAATGCCAATATGCAAACCGGATTCTGTGGGAAAGGCCCTTTTTAACGATACGAGATCTGTAGCATTTTATCAAGAAGTTTGCAAGAAAAATTGCCTACAGACAAACGCAAGAGCTTTATTTATACAGATATTGAAATATAGAAAAACGTTAGAAAAATACTTCTGAAATAATATGCCACAGGTAATCAATAGAAAATTTCCAATAAAACTTGTATGTTTGTTGTTAAGCACAAAGCTGCACAATTAGCTATCTGTGATTTACTCACCGCGGATACGGAAACAACGACTTTTAGCGTTATAAACCTTTACGTTTACCGCTTAGCCACCAAGAGGCGGTTTAGTGAAATATAGTAAACTATATGACTACCGAAAAATAAATTCTCAATGGAAATGATAGCTTTTTCAAGTATGTAGTTAAACATAAAAGGAAAATAAAATACGTGAAAGGATTTCGAAGGAAACTTTTCAGACATCTATGATGATCGAAAATTATTTAATAGGTGTAACCATAATGACGGTAATTCTGTTTATTTGTATCGGTCGGATTATGAATAATGTTTTAAAAGCTACATTCGACTGTTAAGTTTTTACCGTTTTATTTGTTTCACCTTAGACAATAATTACATTACCAGGTAATAAGGATTGGATATTTTCAGGACAATTAATGAAAAACCATTTGGAGGGTTTTAAAATTCCTAAAATACTTGGAAGTAATTTTCTCATAAAACCTGTTTGGAACAACGTGATTAGCTCTAGCTCCAACATTTTACTGTTTTTTTTTCTTTGTTCTTGAATTTCACGCAAAGCTACTTGAGGGTTATCTGCGTTATCCGCCTCTAATTTTGAAGTGATAGATTAGAGGGAAGGCAGCTAGTCAACACCACCCACCACCATTCTTGGGCAGGCTACTCTTTTACCATCTAAGAGTGGGATTAATCGTAATTATATAACAGTTCTTCGCCTGGAAAGACGAGTATGTCCGGTGATCGGATTCGAACTCGCGACCTGCAAGTCGAGGGTCCTAACCACCAGCTCCAACGTTTTACTTCTAATAAGCCAATTTCTTATTTATCAAAGTCATAGAGGTCTCTCCAGTCAACTTTTTTTTTACCTTACATGAAAGACTATTATAATGTCATCAAACTATATTTCGCCTCTCAACGTCTCATTTGTGAAACATTTCAGCGATGAAAGTAGTTTATAACATTTTTTCATCGCCGGAATTATATATTTTTATGTATAAAATGCGTCTTCAGCCTCATTATTTTTACTAAGTGTATGTTCTTATACAGGTTTGAGAAAAATTCTCTGTTGGTCTAGTTTTACATCTCCAGACAAACACTATCCGTTACAGGGAGTTCAATATCGTGTCTGTGTGGACGATAGTTGCTAATAGTAAGAAACAATCTCACTTAGTCTCTCGCGGTAGTAAATAAACAGCAGAATATATTTGAAGCTTACGAACCACATATTGAACGCGAGTGTAACCTACCAACCACTCTATATATTAAGAATAAATTGTGAGTCACTAACCACAGAATAAGCAGAATTTCTAATTTACTAACCACTGATTAAGCAGAAGTTCTAGCTTACTAATCACAGATGAAGCAGAAGTTGTAACCTACTAACTTCTCAGATTAGGCAAAAAGTGTAACTTACTAATCATAGATGATGCAGAAGTTCTAACTTACTAACCACAGATTAGGCAGAACGTATAACTTACTAATCACAGATGAAGCGGAAGTTGTAACTTACTAATTACAGATGAAGCGGAAGTTGTAACTTACTAACCACAGATTAGGCAGAAAGTGTAGCTCACTAATCACAGATGAAGCAGAAGTTGTAACTTACTAATCACAGATGAAGCAGAAGTTGTGAGTTACCAACCATAGATTAAGTAGAAGTTGTGATTTACAAACCACCGATCAGGCAAAAGCTGTGAGTTACTAGTCACACATCGAGCATAAGCTGTACCTCAATAACTACACGTTGAGAACATGTTTTAACTTACTACGAATCATGTGTTCCTAATAACGAATTGGGTTAACGATGGCACATCTGCAACTGACTAAAGTAATGAAACATTAGCTTATGAGAAAAGATGCTTGTCATATGAGGTTTTGTGTGCTACCCTACACGTAGGTTATAGATATATTGTTAAATTATATTAATTGCACCTCTTGTTATTACCTTTAGTATGTTAGACCAAACGTTTTTTAATTAAATCATAAATTAACTAATAATTGATATTTAGAAAACTTTATTGTTTTTTCTTCTTCTTAAGTTTACTTTAGTTAGCATGGATAGAAATTATGTAACTATGAAAACCGTGTATATTTAAACGTCTGAAGCTAATTAATGTTTCCAGACAAATTTGTTCTTCTGCTTCTTTACCTTTCACTACACAGTCATTTCGTGATTTGGACAACTTCACTGTATTCTTTATAAGATTGATGTTTGGAATAATTTCCAAAGCTGGTGATCACGAATGTCGCGTTTTGTGGCAATCAAAAGAAATATGTCTATTTGAAGCTTGCGATCCTTATTACTCATGTTAATAGATATAAGTATGACATAAAGAAAGGGAAGGCCTGATGATATTCACTATGACATATAAGACACGAAACGTTTCTCCAAATCACTACTGAATAAGAATGGCTCTAATAAACCACTTTTGTTGTACATTAGCAATAGTAAATTACTTAGGTATCTCCCAAGTAATTTGATTGGAAGTTAATATTAATTCGAATAACAGAGATAAGATGGCGAGATCGCAAAATCTTTAATTAACTTGACAATGAAAAAAATTGGAAAGTTAAACTGACAACTATTTTAAAAGGCGTTAACCTCCCTTATTAAGGAACATGCTTTTATATCAAATATTATAGAGGG